CAAAACAGATAGTACCAAGTAGGTATTCTAGCAAAAACTTACATGCCATTGAAGTTAAAATGTAAGGTTAAATGCAGTAAGTCATGGAAACTTTCAGCTAACAATACAGGTAACCTTGATTTGTAGACTCGTACATTTTTTAAGCAAAATTAGGCCAGCATGTCGACTTCATCATTGATGTCTCAATCTGACAAACACTTTTTTCTACAAACTTTCCAAGGTATGCTTCGTATGAGGACCAAAATTTCAAAAGAAAACTTCAAATGAGGACCAAAATTTCAAAAGAAAACCTTTTGGGACCAAAAATGTAACGCCTGGTTTCTAGTATGAATTTATCTTTCCAATTATTTATATTTTATTGTAGGACTCGATGAGGTGGAAGCCTCAACTTTTCGTGTCGTGTTGTTTTTGGCCGTGGAGTTTAATGAGTCAACTCGATGAGTTGACGTGCCTCAACTCGGCGAGTTTGCAGTTGGGAAGGAAACCCTAATATTTAGGGTGTTGCACCCTATTTAAAGGCCTTAAGTCTCTTGGTTGGCTTCCTTACCAGCCTCCTCTATCCAAAAACCCTAAAATCGAGCATTTCCTTCCATTCTTGAGTGTATGAGCTTGAGGAGAGCCTTAAGTGTTCATTTTTGGTGCATATTGAAGGAGCTAAGGAAATTGGGTGTTGCTTGATTTAAAGAAGGAGTTTTGGATCCAGAATCACTAGCCTATTTGCAAAGTTTTTGAGGTATCAAGTTCCCACCTTGCTTAATAATTTCTTAGACCTCTTATTGGGTTAGATTGTATGCTTTTGGCCATGGTTGGGTGGTTGTTGGGGTAGTAGGACGTCCCAAGGTTTATTCTTTCAGATCTAAGACCTTCATGAGCTCTTTTGGCATAAAGGTGCCAACTTTATGGTCTTAAGGGCTTCATGCATTTATTAAGCCCTTCTTTTGGTCTTTTTTGAGCATTTCGAGCCTCTCCTAGTCATGCATGAATGTAAATTTGGAAACTTTACGTGGCCATTCAGCCTTAAGGGCCAGATATGGAGTTTGGGGCTATGCTTTTGGTGATTTATTGCTTAATGATTAAGCCATCACCCTTTTAAGCCTAGGGTTTGGGTTTTGAACCCATTTTGGTTGAGAGCTGAGTGGTGAAGCTCTTAGTTTCGATAGTGTCGGCTTAATGGATTAAGAGGTTGGGTTTCTATCAAACTCGGCGAGTTATTGGTGAACTCGGCGACTTGGATCGATTTTTCCTAATTTTGCGGACTGATGGAGAAACTCGGCGAGTTGAGTCAACTCGGTCCGTTGACTATGACTTTGACTTTAGAATTTGACCAAGTTTGACTTATGAGGGACTTTTGGGCATCTTGAGTTGTAATTAAGGAGATCGTTTCTGTTTAGGGGTGGAGTAGAGCCGCTATTCGGAGTCGGGATCTGTTCAACTATCATTCTATTTTCGAGGTGAGTTTCCTTACCGGTTTTAGCGGGTCGAAGGCACCAATGTCGGCCCATGTTTATGTTATGTTGTTAGTATGCTAGCTATCTTTGTGACTCTTGCATGTGCTTATGTTGATATGTTTTCTGGGCTAAGGCTCGATGTCGGGCAGGGCTCGATGAATATTTGTATGTTATGTATCTATGTAATTTTTTTTTGTATGAGTATGTGGTTATTCGATATATGTTATTGTATGTTGGGCAGGGCCCGTTTACCGAGCTCAGCTTGATGCCAGGCGGTGCCCGATGACAGGGCGGGGCCCACTATATGTTTTATTGTATGGTTGATATGTGGTATTTTTGGAAAACTCACTAAGCTTTATGCTTATCGTTTTTAGTTTATGTTTCAGGTACTTCCGGCTGTAAAGGGAAGAGCTCGGGATGACTGCATCGCACACACCATTAGGATTCCGCTTATGATATTTTATTTTGATTTATTGGCAAATGATACAATGGGTTTTATTTAAATGTTTGGATGATATTGGAAAATACTCTTTTATCTATTATAAAAATGAAATTTTTGGGACCTTATTTCTGGATGTTACAAAAAATGAAAAGGAAAACTTTTTGGGACCAAAAATGCAAAAGAAAACTTTTTGGAACCAAAATTGCGAAAGAAAATTAAGAATGTTAAAAAAAACTTCAAATGAAATGACAAAAAAAATGTATATTGCTTAATCAATTGGATGCATACCTTTAATTTGTTTTTTTTTGTAATCATTCTACATAGACAGGAACCAAAAACGTTAGAAATACATCTAATAAGGGCATTACTTGCAAAAAATAAAAAAACTGTCGACCAAAATTACAAATGAAATATACCCAATGATCAAAAATGCAATTTAAAACAGTTATCATAGGAAAGAGATGCAGACAGTTTGTGGTCCAAGGGTATTTTAGGAAACTTGTTTTTTTGTGGTATTTGACTTTTGGGACATTTTTTAGTCAAAATGTATTTTAGGAAACTTAACTTTTTTATGTAGTACTTGAATTTGTTTAGTTTTTTTTTCTAGTAGCCATATTAGAGTAGGTTTCCTTTGTGTTTAGTATAAATAGGTTCGTGTAAATTGAAGTTTTTAAGTCTTTTACGTTTGAAAATAAAAGTATTCTTCAGATATATTTTTTGTCCTTTGTTTTCCCTTTTGTGTCTTGTGCATTTGTGTGGATTGACTTTAATTATCTCAGCTATACCATAGTGAATAAGGTATAATCAGCAGCCTATAGGTTATATAACAAAATTTGACAAATGGTCATAATTTGAAAAAACTTTACTAAAAGCTCAAGAGACAACTTAGTACTTTTACTTTAAAAATAACAATTTTTATTTATAGAAAGTAAATTTTTTATGTTTAGTCTTAAGCTTTTATAAATTTGTGCTCTTTCATTTTCTTCTTCAATTAACCTGAATATACTACCATTTTGTTGTATATATTTTAACCATCTTTTATCAATGCAACATGTATCCTTATAGAGCTTAATGAAAAAGGACAAACAAAATAGGATCAAAGTCATACATGGCGAGACTAATAGAACTTAGAGGAACAGATCCTAAAAAATTTATAACATCATCTACGACACACTCTCTTTTGAGTATTTGGAACATAACATACTGTAAAGAAAGATTGTAAACTGGTACCTACTTTTTATGAATTTAACAAAACAACTTGTATGCAAATATATCCAACAACTTAAAAAAAAACCCCATTCTGACAGAAAAAAAAACAGAAACACAAGTTGGAAACTTAATATGAAGTTTAATGTAACACGACACCAACACATATTACATATACCACAATTAAGTGTCATCAAAATTGTATTCATAAATCTTTAATAACAACTCAAGTGTGCATTCAAAATAGCAGAAAAAGTACCTGGGATGAAGATTTTGAAACCTGGACAACGTTTTTCTGAAATTTCAAACCCTAAGCAAAAAATAATTACCCTTCAGAATAACAATAATCAAAATATAAATATTAGAGTTTAATCACATGGTAGTTGGTAAAGTAACTTACAAATTGAAATGTATGCCAAATAAGCTCCCCTTCCCTGCAAATAACATTTCGGATGACAATAAATAAACATTGATAACACTCTTCCTGATTAATCAGTCAATAGAAGTTCTTGTTTAAACCACAAACAAAACACACAATTTTACCTCTCCTTTATCTGGTAAAGCTAATCTCAAATGAAGAATACGTTTTTCAAGTTTCAACAGCTAGAGATAGAAAGTTTTAAAGGTCTTCTAAGGGGCGACTCAGAAAAAACAAAAGGAAAATATAGTTCAAATCGCATGTGAAGGCTTCTTCCTCTTCGTAATAGATTGAATAAAAATTTCATGCTTACCTAGTCCATTAATGGCTACTAAGCTTCTCATTAGCCTTATTCTCCTGCAAGTGTCGAAGAACGTCCTGTAATTAAACAAATAAACAAAAAAAATTGGTGATTTAATTTTGAAAATTTGGAAGATTGTAGTAAGAGTTTATCAATCAGAGGAGGAATGGATCTAAACAGAAGAAAACAAAAACAACTGAGAAGGAAATCATATGTGTTGAAGACGATTTAATCAGAAGCTAAGAGAAGCGGTGGGAAGAAGCAATGATTCTTGGAAGAAGCAATGACATCAATCATAATGTAATTGGCCTACTTGGCCTACTGAGTCGGACGAAGCGATGATTTTGCTGACGTGGAAAGGACATTGTAAATGAAAAACAAATTAAAAAAAATGCAGTGTAAAAAAAGCCATAAAACAGCTGGTATTTACGAAACATAAATAAAGAGGGGATCAATTTGCCAAAACCTTAGGAACTTTACTGTTCCTAAGGGTTGCCTTTCTTTAATATATAATATATATATATATATATATATATATATATATATATATATATTAATTTGTAATCCTTTTATTTTCTTTTGTATATCCCATAATAAATCATTATTATTAGAGAAATTAAATATTATCCTATCTTTTGTTCCTACCAATCCTCATACCCAATTAAATGATTACATGTGTCTTATTAATATACTAGAATATTATTAAATTAGGTGTGCAACCCGTGTATTACATGTGTTTATTAAAACTAAAAATTTAATATCAATATAAATATAGTAAATATTTTATAAAATAATATTTTTACATAACAAAATGTAATCTTTTGGAACATTTAATAAAAAAAAATCAAATCATTTGGAGCGTTTATGAGAATTTATTATCAAATTAGTATATAAAATGATTCTCTTTCTTTATAAAACCAGCTAGAATTTTATGGAAATTTATTTTAAGAAAATAGAAATTCTCAAAAAATAAAAAGTGGAAAATAAAAAATTTAAAACTTCTACAAAATTACATGTACCAAAATAAATGAGAAGATGAAATCTGGCAAAAAGATTTTCTGGTTGATTTTAATTAAAATACACATTAATAAGAACTCAAACTTTAATCTTAGAACTAAACCAAGAGAAATAAAATTGAATAAAAAGACCCAAATCGATATACGGATAACAAAATAACAAGGATTACCTTTTAAAACTTGATTTCTCAATTACTTATATAGTCTTATGTAAAGGGTGTTCCAAACCCTAAACTCATCGGCGCTCCTTTCGACTCTCTTTCTCTCTCTCTGCAACGATGAAGTTTTGGGGTAACTAATAATTTCTGTATATTTCTATTTTATTTCGATGAAAATTTGCACCTTGTTTTGGTTTTGATAGCGATGCAAATCTCCAATTTGATTTACATCGCTTTGTTTGTTTGTATATTAGATGCTTGGTATGTAATATATGGTATTATCAATTTAATTGTCTGTGCAATCCCAATTTAAAAGTAAGAGGATGTGCAAATGGTAAGGACGAGGGTTAGCAACTAATATCCACTTTGTTTTTAGGTATATGCTACTGTAACATGTATATGAATTGGATGTTTTTCTGTTTATGTATTTATATGTATCTGCCTCCTGCATGTTTGCGTTGTTTGAAATTGGATTTATAAGATTGCATTCAGGACTGTTCTTGATATGTTTCAAATATGATATGATGATTGTGGCCTGGATGTTTATATAAAAATATAATGTGAAAAATAGTTGGTTTGTTGTTTTCACATCAATTGTTTGTAACACTAGTTTTATGTTTTGTTTCACATTATGATGTGTATTACCTTTTTGCAAACTCATATTGTTTTGATTCAGCTCGTGAAGTTAAAAGTGGTCAACAGTATGAAGCAAAGATTCTTGAAGGTTTTTATTTGAATATTACTCATGTATCACTTGGTGAAGTGGATGAAGAGTCAAAGGAGTTTTGTTTGGTGCACATAATTGTTAACGGAAAAAAGCTGGTGGTTGCAGCCCTTGACCGCATGTGGCTTCCAAGCGAATTCGTTAATGTGGTATGTTTCAAAAACTTCCATATCTCTCATACTTTGAGCAAGGGGAGTGTTTATCTTTACGGAACCCTAGAGGAACTGGAAGAGTCGCCAAAGAAGGTTAGTTTTTTGTCTTGAAGATTGATGATTGATGGCAATTATGATTTGGTTATTTCAAACCCACAGACCTCAAGAAACTTAACCCCTTGTTCAAATATCCCAACTCTTTCCTGTTCTTTCAATCACCAATAGCAGCTATATGATTATATAATGTGAACATATTCACATATAATGTGAACATATTCACAGAAGAAAAGAAAGGTTGAAAAGTCGTGTGCAAATCTTTATTTTGTTTTGTTTTCATAAGTAAAAGTCGGTGATTGCATTGCAGGGAGTTTAAGACCATGGTGACGAGTGATTGATGAGGGGTTGAGGGTTGCAGATTGAAGAGTCGTGAGGACTGAGGATGGTTTCTAAATTCTAATATAATGCATGGTGTTTAGTATAGTAGGTTTGTTGGAAAAAGACATCAAAATCATATATTACTCTCTTTATTTGTTGTCTTGAAGATTGGTATTGATGGTAATTATGAATTGGTTATTTCAAACCCACAGACCTCAAGAAACTTAACCCCTTGTTCAAATATCCCAACTCACCTATAGCTATGTAGTAATTTCAGTTCTATACACATAACATAATAACAATCTACTTTCTGTTCTATTGTTATATACAACATAATAGCAATGAATCACCTTACAAGCTGGATTACTCAATCGGATATTCCTATCCTGAATTAATTTGTCCTCATCTGGATGTCTTGCTCTTGCAACATTTATGACACAAATTAAAAGAGGCTCGGAAGCTCTCTTGTATTTGCAACAAAGTTAATAAAAAAATCTATTCAATTTGCACACACAATTGCAGTACAAAATACATTTGTCTTGCTTGAGGAGATCTACATCTACCTTTGTTGTTCATGCAACACCTGGTTGCTTTTTTATAATAAAGTTTCATCATCTAAGCTAAATCTTGTTCATAATCTTAGACATAAAAACATGATGCACAAGCTACCTTATTTTATTCCACTAGTACTAGGTTATAGCCCATTGAACCACGGTTACAAAAATAAAATAACATAATGAAAACATAGTCATTGCTATTTCCAGAAACAGACACACACATAGAAGAACACACCGAAGCACTCACAAAGAATCACACACAAATATGAAAGTACAATGTTATGATACAATTAAAATTTAGTAGATTTTTCGATATACTTGGAATATAAATAAAAATACAATATTATTCCTACATTTATATGTTAATAACAAAACCAATTGAATGTGTCATTTTTTTCCTTGTACGATAATTGAAAACAACGGTACATACACTATGAACGATAAAAAAAATATATATGTAAGTAAATGTTGCACTACTTAAATATATGTAAGTACATTTCTATAATAACCTAAGATAGATTCAAAAGGCATTATAGTTTTATGTGGAGTATTTGTCAACATTAGCCTTCTACTTTAAATAAGTAGATAGTGACACTACTTTAAATAACTACATTGATAAACAAACCTATAAGTCTATGTCATGGTATTGTATTTTGTGCAGATATATTTACGCTTGTGTGGATATACTTGTTGTAGCTAGATAGTACATTCATTTGGTAATCTAGTCTTATACCCTTTTATATATATCAACCATTTTTTTTATATAAAACCAAGTTATGTATTTAATATTAAGAGTTCAATTATTAAATTTTTTATAAATCAACTAAAACCATGTTAACTTATAAGCATTACCCATGATGTTTTTGATTGTAGATTGTTTTACAAAAAATATTAAGTTGTTATTTTGATGGTAATTATTAAAAATATAATTAGTATATTAGTGCAACAAAAATTTAACTTGTAAAAGAATGAATGCAGCACCAGACCAGAAGCAGAAACTGGAATTAGAGCCACAAACATCTACAATTCACCACAAGGATCATAATACCCTCTAACAACCTGGATGCAGACCCAAGGATAATTAGCAACACAAATAATGAAACATAGTAGCACCAAACCATAGCATGTACATAGAAGCCATAAAACATCTCTAAATAATCGCAATATCCAAAATACCCTTCGACTACCTTGATTCGATCCAAGGAGAATTAAGAGCAAAAACACGAATGTAAACTAGAGGCCCGTTTGTCCCTAGGTCCAGGTATGTAGCCACATCTCATATTGGGAGAACCATCCCATTTAGGTTGTTAACCCTTTAAGAAGAACCCCATCATGCATCCATCGAAATAAATTAGAAAATGGAGCACTTGAACGAAAATGTCCCTTATTTGGAGTAGCACCAATTCTTAGTTTTTCCCTTTGCTCCAAATATTTCTCCTTTCGTCAATCAGGATCGTCTATAAAATTATCAAATCTCATTAAAACACTCAACTTTATAACTGTGACATCCCCATTTTCACGGCCAGAAAAGACCGATTTTGTTTATGCTTTATAAAAATCAGAGTACTTCTTTTAATAAAAATGTTGCGGAATTTGTTCCCAGAAAAACATGATAAATACGTTATCAAAGCATTTCCGAAGAAATGTATTTTTATTCATTTTAATACATTTGGGATGTCATCGTCAATACAAAAACATAAGCATAAACAGAACTTACATTTATTTACACTAGTGATCTACATCTCTTTTAAATCTCTCAGTGTAAAGTAGCTTCGTCTCGACACCTGTGATACAAATAAGCTTGAGTGGGTCAGGTTGGGAAACCTGGTGAGTACATAGGGTTTTCAACCCACAATAATATAATTATTAGGTTTAAACATCAAACAATCAACCCAATTACCCATCCCCATTATCTTCTTAAGGATTTACCCTAAGAATCAACTATTCATCGTTCATTCATTCCTAAGGAAACGACACGAAGTCCATTGTTGCCAATGACACAGTGGTCAAGCACAACTACTAATATTATCACTTAGGCGCAGCTGCCAGAATCATGACATTTTCTATGAGGCGCTTCTGCCGGTATTGACCTTTAAACGCTGTTGTCATGGTCATAAGGCTCTCTATTAGGCGCAGCTGCCGATACTGTCCTTAGAGCGCAGCTTCTAGGACGTTTACCGTAGATCAAAAACATCTACAGGTTGTGGCGCAGCTGTTGGGTTTTGAGCATTCTAACACTCCTATGGTGTACATGCAACCCTAAATACCTTGGATCTATGTTTTCTCTATTATACATGCAATTATCAATTTTCCAAGGTATTGTTCTAACTAGCATAATATAAAGTACACATAATATAAATTCTAGTAGAATTACATACCTCTTGTTTGGTGCTTGATTCCATGGAGCTCAAGAGCCTAGTGCCCCAAGTGTGACACCTCAAATGGTTCACATAACATCATGAACACTTGGAATAACTTGAGAGAAAGTACACACTTCATGAAATCGGTTTGTCCTCCACACATAGACTTAGTGGCCGATTTTGACAAGAATGATATGTTTATATAGTGTGACACTATTAGGGTAAACCCTAATTGTCATGGCTTTCCATTTCCTTGGATCCATGGGTTCAAATACACCATGGAGCATCCATGGAACATCCTATGAGTTTTAGAGTCTTAGCCCACTATACAAGTATGAATGATTTACACAATCAACCCATATATTTAATTAGTCTTATTTTGATCACTTAATTAATTCTAGATTAATTCTTGATCAATACTAATTAAATAATCTTATTAATATATTAGAACTTATAATATATTAATAAACCTTAAGTGTTATTTCTCTCATTTTAGTCTATCCAAATGCATGATGTCATGCAACCCAAATAGACCATGTCGGGTCGGGTCAAGTATATACCAATTATAGTTATGGACTTAGACACTAATCCAACAGTCTCCCACTTGGATAAGTCTAATAACTATTATTGCAAGTAAGCCTTCATAACCTGACCAACAATCGTAGCTCTTAAAAGCTGCTGTCGAACTCTAAACAAATCAATGACGCGTCCATTAGATAAGTGATCATATATTCCTCCATTCTAGATATCATATGGACTGAGACATGGATTATAATCATTCTCTATGTCCATTTGTTGTTTCCCGATTTCCGATTTATGACGACTGACTAACTGAACAAATCAAATCAGTCCAGGCCTGGCCGAGCACTTAAATTTTGTCATCACTAAATCATCGAGGGGCCCATAGATATCACTTTTATCCCTTTGAGGGTAAAAGGAATGGATAAACTTTGACTCATATGCTTGTACTGACTACTTGTTGAATCATACACAAAGGCACGTTTTATAACATCGAGTTACCAATGCGTTTTCGTGCAATCAATGTATAACCAACTCATAGTCAACAACTCATATCTTTAGGTTTGAAGAATATAAGATATTATCGTCTCATGATTCACTCGTGATAAAATCAATGAAGTGATTCAAATGAGCGTGGGTTGAATCCAATACTCAGAACTTATGAGCACTCATGAATGTTGTAGCAACCACTGCTATGTCTAATGCACATTAGACAAATCATACAAGCGAAATTCATGACAGTCTTGATTCATATCTACTTCCAACATATGACTGACTGTGGACGGTTTGAATAACTTAGTTATTCGGGAAGAATGACCTAGTTATTCAGGAAGTCAAAACATGCAAAGTGAAACACAAAAGTAATACTAATCCTATATGGCCCCAACACTTTGAGTGTAAATAAAAACACCTTTTATCTAAGCACCATATTGATTACTCATTATTCATGTTTCGATTAATCAACTTAATACTTGAATTGAAACAATAGTCATGCCATGCTCCAAGCATGCACACTATGTTCGTCCAAACAATAGCTATGCCATACTCCAAGTATGCACACTATGTTTACATGTGGTCCTCTCTTTGTGAAACAGATCAATTGACAGCATTTCAATGATGCTCATTTCACAATCCCAATCCTCTTGTCATTTACTGTAATATTGTTAGATTCTAAACTTATATGCAATGATCCTCTTGTAATGACTATACCCAAAAGTCACAAAGACTTGGCAACAAACATTACAAAGAATTCCAATGGAGATCAATTCCATGGAAACGAAGTCTCAAATTCAAAGTACATTCCCTTGAACAATTCCAACATAGATTCAAAATATGTCAATATGGTCCTTACTCTATGGATTAAGTTCTCTAATCTTACACAGATTCAAAGAATAACTTCCACCTATGGAAACAATTCCATATTACCATTTTGACCATCACTTCTGAACAAGAGTTGCCTCTTTTCAAAATATGTCAATATGGTCCTTACTCTATACTTCTAAATGTCCATGAGCAACCAATCTTTGGTAAACCTCAAATTGTCCTCGACAATTTGCTTAATCATTTTAGTCATTTCCAGTTCTATTCCTTTTCCATTTTAATGCCTTAGGCATTTGGAAAAGTTAGAATGGATTATAGCACATGTAATCAAACCTATACCCAAAACATATGGGA